TAGATAACGTAATTATTATTTGTTATGTTGTTGTAAACACCAAGCATCGTTTATAACGATGCTCGTTTTCTCGTTAGATAAAATATATTTTTTAAACGATCATTTTTTCAAAATTATTATCATATTAAAAGTAATTTTTTTTTGTTTTTCAAGTGGATAATTAGAACAGAATAAAATATATAAAAATAAGTTGGTTGTGTTAGGTAATTTTGGTTTTTTGTTTTGCTTATAAATTTATCGCAAGATATAATTTTATTTAAAAAAAAAAAAAAAAGAAAAATTTGAAATTCTTAAACAGAACTCTGCTACGGAAATGTATGTAACTCGAACGAGATATCGGACTTATTTAGTATAATACAAGTACAGTACGTAAGAATAATGTTTTCAGGACACACACGTGTGTGTCGGCTAGTTTTCTTCTTTAGAATTGGCACGAGTTGGACACGTGCGTCCTATCAACGACGATTGTTTATTCTCCAAGCTTTCCGATCGTTGACACGAATCGAGAGAGAGTAGGTTAGTTTCATTTGACGATTAAATCGTACGATCTTTAAAATAATATTTTTTATTTTGTTTTTTTATTTTGTTTTTTTTTTCAACATTTAAATTAATTTAACTTTTATATTAAAATCACGTGTTATTAGATTCACGAAATAATATTTTCTATTGGTCAAAATAGACCAGTGTGAATTCCCTAAAAATTAATTCCCTATAAACGTTTCTCGAAATCGAATCGATCGATCGATCGATCGATCGATTATTACATTCATTCGTATATCGATTATATTATTTAAAAATTTACAATGGGGGCGTGTACGATAATACTCATGTGAACTAATAGCATTAATTTTTTTTTTTTTTTTGTTGAGTTTCAAAACTGTTCAATCGATTTTCATATATTACAATGAATAATATTTTGTTTTTTGTTTGTTTGTAAACAATATCCAATATTTTCTTTCTTATTAACCAATTATCCAGTTCACTGTTCTCGAGATTTCCAATATCTAGTGAAATTCCTAAGCAAGGGTCTTTAACCGGGTTATAATACTAGATCGTTTGAATTCTTCCTTGCATACCTTCAAAAGGTTGATGTGCTCTACTCTTGTATAATACAACTTCACAAACATTCCTTTATCTTTCTTGTTGAAATTGTTTTTCTCTTGTTAGCTCATAAATCATCATTAAGATACCATGTATCTTATTACGATATCTTATATATAAATAAATTTATATGACAATAATGAAAATTAATTCTAAATAAAATATACTTGCAGATAATTATGACAGTGTACTAACAATATGTTACATTAATTTATTTTATATTATAAATCAATAAGAATATTATAAAATAAATTTTCAAATAAATTCTTCGAATTTTCTGATCGAGCCTATTATTATTATTACAATTTTCTACGAATATAAATCGATTAACTGTGCAAAATTAAAAACAAAAAAAAAGTATTTAAAATAAAATTATATACATTGTCATATTATTTATTGATATATTAAGCTTAATTATAAAAAACATGTATTTTACATGAGTAATTTGAAAATTTTACAGTTTAATGTATAATAAAAACAATTTCTTTCTTTGGATCAAAAAAAAAAGTAACTTTTATATTTAAATCAAATATAATCTTTGTTTTATTGAGATTCAAAACTTGTCAATCCACTGTCGTAAATATAAAAAAGTAAAACATAATAAACAACACATATTTTAAAAATCGATACCTTTTTTTTTTTGTTAATCTCGAATTTAAATAGGAGGCTTCTAAAACAAGCAAGCAACATTGTCTCCTTCCTGTTACTCAAATTTAGAAAGCCATCGTTAGCCGGATATTCGCACTACTCGGTGTGTATATCCGAGTTTCACCAATGCATTCATCAACGTGGGTGTACAATACAAGCACATATATAAAATATGTAGATATTTATTGTAAATGTATTAGTTAATACGACTTGTTCGCTCCAATTCCGACGAATGACAGAGAGACAAGTAAGACGATTATTAAAAGGGCAAGCAAGAACCATATTCTTTCACTTTGTTGTTTTTCTTCTTCTTTTTTTTTTTTTTTTCCATTTTTTTTATTCATTTTTTTATTCATTTTTTTTTTTTTTTTTTTTAATTATTTTTTTTGTACTCAACAGCTGATTCGTAGCAAAAGATACACAGACCGAAGAAAGTCGTCATACCTTTTTTTGCGTTATACTACGTCGTTTCTCTGCTGTAAGAGGGACACGTTATTCGATCAGCTGATAGTTCGTAGTATATATGTGTATATGTGATGATAGCACGTGTACTACGATTATTATACGCATATCTAGATATACATACGTGTATCTCGCGTTTCTGTTAACGTTCATGCTAATCGTTTGTTTCCATATGTCGAATCGTAAATCATTAAATATGATATACGATAACATAATGCATATCATGCATATGCAATTTTCATGTATTCATGATTCACGTTGTCTTAATTATATAATATATATTATTCTCTTTGTTAAAATCATATTGCATTAGTTTGTTCTAAATGTCATTTCGTTTGTTTCAATTGCAAATAAAAAATATATTTTCATATTCAAAAAAGTCAAATTAAATACATTCAATTGTCAATCGCATTTGAAGTGTGATATTACTTTACGAACAATTCAATATCTTTCTTCTTATATATATATATATATAAATTACGTGTCACGTTGTTTGTCCGCAATGGACTTCTAAACTACTGAACCGATTTGAATAAAATTTTACACACTTCGTGCAATTTCATCCAACTTGAAAGATAGGATAGTTTATATCTCCATTTATTATTTGTTTATTAAACAAAGAATCATGATTATCTCTGTCAGTTCGATAAGATTCTAACAGATGGCGGTAAAAGGTAATTCGTTGACTTAAAGACGTATGTATCGGACTTATTGTGAGTCACAGCAACGTGTGGCAAGGCACCCCTATTTATAATAATTTTTGTTGTTGTTTTATGTTACAGGTAAGAATTAAAATGTAATAAAATATGTTATAATATATGTAATTTATTTTCTTTTTTTTTGTTTCCTGATATTATTATTGTTCTGGTAGTAAAATAGAAATGATAGTAATTGTCTAGTCACGGAAAATTCTATTTCCGCGTTCGAAACGTGCATTACTATGCAGTTTGCTGTTAGCGGTACCTGTGAACGACACTTGCCGCATCGCTTACGCGGCAAAACGGTCAGCTTTGTCGAGCGAAACGTTTCGTTCATCGTATACTCCTCCTTAAACTTTCTTCGAAGAGAAAATAACCAGGGTAACGATGATGCTCTCTTCAATTTTTATACCACTTAAACTCATCCCAAGAGAGAGAGAGAGAGAGAGAGAGAGAGAGAGATCTATATATTTTTATTTTCTACCTTTATACAAGACGTTTTCACGCTCGACTGATTTCAAAAAAAATGGCGCGAATCGCGAACCTACCATTATTATTGTTATTGGTGTATCGTTAAACAAAATTATTTATCTATTTTCTCGTGTTACAATTAATGAGGTTAGTCTTGATATTTATTGGTTTGCTTGATGTGCAATATCCGACATTAATTATTGATCGAATCGATTTTTATTTCTTTTTCTATTTTTTTTTTTTTTTTTTTTTTTTTTGTAAAATAATTGCACGAAAGTTTAAATTGTAATGTAGTTATAGAAAGTTAGAGATTTTTATTTTTTAGTTTGTATACTATTAGTTACATATATAATATAAAGTTTTATATATAGTACTAAGTACTAAGATAGTTATAGTATAAGGTTATATATATAGTACAAAGTAGTTATACAAAATTAATACAAAGTACTAAAGTAGTTATAGTACAAAATTATATATATAGTACAAGGTACTAAAATAGTTATAGAGTACAAAGTTATATATATATATATATATATAATACAAAGTATTTATATAAAATTAATACAAAGTACTAAAGTAATTACAGTACAAAGTTACTTCTCGTTTGGAAATAAAATAATAATGAAAAAAAAAGAAATTTAAATTTCGAATTAAAATGAAAAAAAAAAAAACAAAAAAAAAATGAGACATAATTTTAATTGATATTTCTAAAAAAAATTTCAAAATTAGAATAGGCAAAAAAAAAAAGAAAGAAATGTTTCTCACGGTGTTTGAAACGAATGATTTTTTAATGAGCCTGACTAACCCTCTATGCGTTGTATCGATCACGGTTCGTCGATCGTGTTTGCACGCACCTGCGTCAGGTAAAAATCTGCAGGAAATGCCAGGATACATTGGAGGGACATAGTAAATACCTGTGAGCTTCTCGAGTACTTTCCTCTTCTTCAACTATGAACAAACATTCATCCGATCGTTCACTGTCGTGTTACGCGAGTTCTCGCGTATACCAACCGACCAACCAACGCACGCTTAATACAAGCGCGTACTTTGAATACGTTATTTGCCTCTTCGAAAACATTCCTACACGCTTCCTACGCGTTTATGATTTATTAGAAATCTTTCTCTCACTGTGAACATTGTTAATGGATTCTATTTGAAAGTTCATCACTCAAACAAATATCAGACTTTCTCGATAAATAAATATACATAGTATTATATATATTCGATGTATGTATATATATATGTATATATGTATATGTGAAATAAAATTTTAAACTTATTCACAATAAATATATAAATAAATATGTTAATAAATTGTATATAAATTATATGTTATATATCAATAATTAATTACTTACATTTACACTACATGTTTTTATTTATTAGCTCTAATATGTACTTTCTTTTTTATATATATATATATATATATATATATATTATTTTTATAATATATTTAAAATATATATTATAATTTAAAATATAAATATAAATATGTTTATTTATTTTTATCTCGATTATTTATTATTATATTTTTATACGAACATAATATGTGAATATATATAAAAATGTTTATACGTACTTATATATGTAATTTTTGAGAATTATTTTCTTTGTTCGTAGAATGGCCACGGAAATTGCGAACAAAAGGGCTGAAAGGGAAGCCCTTCGTGGGGTCATACAACAATGGAACGCAAATCGTTTGGATCTTTTCGAACTCTCCGAACCCAATGAGGTAAGAGATTTATATTAATAAATATTATAATAATTTATTGATTAATTTGTAACACACATAACACATTGTTTATTCTATTACAATATTAAAACAATGTGTACAAATTAGGATTATTTGATGACAACTTTTAACGATTGTTAATTCGTTTTTAATTGAATGATTTTGATTTTTGAAAACTTGATCACACACCCATTCACATAAAATTGTAGATCCCTTTTACGATATATATATATATATATATCTTTCGAGAATGTCTTTAATTTAAGTACCTTTAACCGGAAATCAAGTCACGCTGCATTAACTTTCTCAAAAGAGAACTAACTCTTCTCTCTCTCTCTCTCTCTCTCTCTCATTTTTGGCTATTAGAAACTTAACCCTTTGCACTCGAGCGGTGCCGATACGGCGCCCGGTGGCTGATTTTAACCCTTTCGCTACTACGAATCACTATAGTGGCCCTCCTCTATAAGATGCTGCTGAGATACTATGGGCCACTATAGTGGCCCTCCATAAAATACCGCGTATTTTACATACGACAAACATATGCAGTTATAGCACGCCAAATATTCCACACTGGGACATGTAATTTTAGTGTTTTGTTTATTTTGATGTAAAAATCGTTTAATATCAACAATAATATTATTTAAAAATAAATTGCAATTTCGATGCTGCTGCACGTATTATTAACAGCCCTAGCTACAGCAGAAGTAGCACCGCGGAAAATACGCCCGTAGCGAAAAGTTTTTTGTTATTCTATTTGTAATTTAAATTAGTATAATATTTCTATTATTTATATACATTTGTTTGTTTACAAATGACATTAAAGTACATGTCAAATGTTTCCTTAATTTGGTCGAAATTGTTTCGAGTTGTTGATTAGTGTAAACGGCCTAAAGTGCAAAGGGTTAAAACTATATGTACAAATAGGTTTATTTGTTTTTTTTTTATATAAAAATATTGCCAATAAGTTTAACAATAATTTCAATTACGTTTCATAGATCACTCTCGTAAACCTAATATCAATTGTTATAAAAATAACAAGACAAAGAGAAAAGAATGTTTATTTAAAAATAGGGACCCTGTAGGAGGGACGCGCCAAACATCTTATAGTTTTAATTTATGAGTAGTGCAAAACTGAATTATTATTAATTTATATTTAAAAACATTGTTTTTAATAACAACGATTACATTTGATAAATCTACGTTCATGTAATAAACCTAATTGGAGTAAGAATGTAAAAAATATGATTTTATTTTTTTAAATCATAGTTATTAAAAAAAAATCTTATAATAATTTCCTTGGGATTAGATAAATTATAAATATAGGAGAGGAAAGAGAGAGAGAGAGAGAGAGAGAGAGAGAGAGAGAGAAAGCATGATTGCAATTTTGGTAGATTTTACGTACGCTACGATAACAATGCGACTAAGTTAATGTTTTATGAGGAAACCTCACGCGAGCTTTAATTCTGAGCTTTCTCTCCTTTCCACTATCTAATTCTAGGATTAATCGAGACACGACAAAAACGTAAATTCCTTTCGAGCTAAAACTTACGTGACATTTTACACCTTTACACCTACCGTCTCTGTATTATCAAAGTTCATGATAATGAGAGTAGTTACGATTTAAGAAATAATCGTAATCGTTTAGTATGTTCAAATCAATCTTCTTTTAAAGATATTCATTTTCAGTGGTTCTCATATATATCTTAAAAGAATAAAAACCTAGTTAACAGAACATCAATTTTTGTTGTTGTTGTTATTGTAAATTGTACATAGTTGTAGAGAAAACCCAATATTTGTTTTTTTTCTTTTCAATCTAATTGACCAAAATTATTTGTTCATCCAATATGAAATGAATTGGTGCATAATACATGTGAAACTTTTATTTTCGTTTTGTAAATGGTTAAATATTGGGTCTTACTGCTTGCACAGTGTATTGTTCTGATGGACCCATACAATTGTTTACAATTAAACAGTAATCGATGTGTCACCCTTGTTAATCATTTCTTTAGTTTTTTCTTTGTTGATTTCGAGCACTCGATTATACAACTTTCATGTTTAAATAGGCTCAGTGACGCCTACTCAATGTATAGTAACACGTGAAACCTTATCAAATGTCAGAAACAAGTCGTATAAGTGTACACACATCTATTTATATTGTATACATACATTTACCATGTATTCAATCTAACGAGAACGTTCAATTTCGATCGACGATATGCAATGCAAATTAAAATATCTAAAACATTGAATCAAACAATGAATCAAAGAAATAATTATGAATTAGATCGACATGATGGATAGGTGAATAGAAATGTAAGAGTTTCAAAACTGTGAAGAAGTTGAGATTTTGCATTTATATTTATAAAAAAAAAAAAAAAAAAAGGAATATAAGTATTTTTATCGATGTACAAAATGTGTCAAACAATCCTCATAATTGACTTCTTGGGATTATGTTAATTAAATTATTATTATTATTATTATTATTATTATTACTTGATTTTTGTATGAATTCTTTTTTTGTAAGCATAGAAAAATCAAATGGGTTTACTGACAATTTATAATGTAAATTTTATGTTATAGATTTTTTCAAATTATTATCATCTTAATAATGAATACTTAATAGTAGTTTACTGACAATTAATAATCTAAATTTTATGGTATAGATTTTTTCAAATTATTATCATCTTAATAGTGAATATTTAATAGTAGTTTACTGACAATTAATAATCTAAATTTTATGGTATAGATTTTTTCAAATTATTATCATCTTACCACCCTTCCTGGAGCAACACGCTTACCACACCCGGGTTTAAAAGACCCGGTGTGGTTGTTAAAAAAATTGTTATAAAAAAAAAAAAACTATTGCATAGATTTACTTCAACATTTTTTTGAAACTTCTTTAATACTTACTTAAAAAGACTATAATAGGTTTTATAGATTTAAATTAAATTTAAATATGTTGAAAAAAAATGATCAAAGTTGAGTACAATTGAGAAAAATGACTCAAGTTGCAAAAAAAGGTCTCTGGGTCCTTTGGACCAAGTGTGGTAAACAAAGGTTAATGGTAAATAGATATACAAGAAGAAAAAAAAACCAAGATACAAAATGATGACTCGACGATGACGCATTTGGTCTAGACTATTATCAAGAATTCGTACAATAAAATGATGTCATTGTAACCACGTGATGATACAGATATGTAATATGTGTAATACACATTAAATGATAAGGGGAATTCGTTCTAACTTTTCTCGAATCATCTTTATTTATATTGTTTGTATTAATTTATTATTATACAAGATAAAATATATATATATATATATTATTATTATTGTTTCTTTTCAGGATTTGGAGTTTCATGGTGTTATGAGATTCTATTTTCAAGACAGCGGTCAAAAGGTGGCTACGAAATGCATCAGAGTAGCATCCGATGCAACCAGTCGTGCTGTGATCGAAACTCTCATAGAAAAATTCCGTCCAGATATGAGAATGTTGTCGGTACCGGAATACGCTCTTTATGAAATTCATGAAAATGGAGGTACATTTTCTACTTTATCTATGATTTATATATGTGTGTATACGAGAATGGGCTGAAAAGTTTGAGCCTCGACGAAAAACAAATGTTTTATTTGTAATAAAATATAATTTGACTGACAATAATTTTGTTTCAATGTTAGGCTCAATATTTTTTAATCCAGTCACGTATATCTCACGTTTATTATATAAAAATAAAAAATAATATAATAGTAGCTATAACAATAATAATTATAAAATAATATTAATACGTCATATACATATATATAATTAATTATTATTATAATTATATTATAATATAATTATTATAATATATATAATTATTATAATATTATATATATATATATATATATATAATAATAATAATAATAATAATAATATTATATTTTTATATTTGTATATAAGTATAGCTTATTATTTTTTATTACACATATATATTTATTTTTTTTGGGTGTGTATTATTATTTTATTATTAATTTAATAATTTATTTTAGTTATTTAATTAAATAACATATTATTAATAAATATAATATTTAGTTAAAATAATAATAATTATTATTGTTAATTATTATGATTTTAGTATTAGTATTATTTTTATTGTATGTATGCATTATTATTTTATGTTTGTATATTTTTATAATTATTTTATGTTTGTGTGTATCTATTTAAGTGTAGATTAGAAGATGAAAACATTATATTGTTTTAACCGATACTTTATTATAATTGCAGACGAACGAAAATTGGGATTAGAAGAGAAACCATTGTTGGTTCAATTAAATTGGCACGTAGACGATAGAGAAGGACGTTTTTTGTTAAGAAGGATCGACGATAAAACGAATGCTCAAGGTGTTGGTTTCTCCTCGGAAGGTTCTAGCTTTCGTAGAAAGCTGAGTAAGCGAGAGAAGAAACAAATGAGGAAACAAGAGAAGCTTGGACGTTTGAAGAGTTTAGAACAGGATGAAAATGCTGTACCGGTTGATCAGAATGGCGTTGCTGAAAAACTTTATACTGGTTAGGACAAAAAGATAACATTATTTAAGTTCAATGAAATTTTAAATGAAATAATAGATATATATATATATATATATATATATATATATTGAATGAAATTTATTGTAGAAAATATTTGTCACTTTTATCGATTTGTAGTTAACTATGATGATGTCGTTGTGTTCTGTTTTACCCGATACGTTTGTTCTAAACATGTGTCAGAGCGCTGATAACACTAGAGCATGCTTTGCTGCACCGATAAAAGAGATAATCCTAAATATTGTCTGTTGGATTTTTATCATAACTCAGTTTTACCATCATTCGAACAAAATTTCCTCATATTGGCATAAAAACAAAAAAAAAACAAAAAAACAAACAGAGATTATTATTATTATTATTATTATTATTATTATTATTAAAATATATATGTTTTGTATTATTGGTTTTGTTTAGAACTTCCTGAGACGAGTTTTACAAGGAGTATATCGAATCCGGAAGCCGTTATGAGACGTCGTAGGCAACAAAAGCTTGAAAGAAAATTGCAACAATTTCGTAGCAAGGATGGTGGCCCAGATACGGGTGGTACTTTGAAGATTTATGGAGAAGCACTTTGCAAAGATGTACCATATAAAACTTTATTATTGAGCGTTAGAGATTCAGCGGCACAGGTTGTAAGAGAAATGTTATCTAAATATGGTTTAGATAAAGTCGACCCTCAACAATATTGTCTCGTACAAGTAAGCTTTTTATTTATTATCAAAGATAAGAGAATTTTATATATATATATATATATTGTAGAAACTTTTTTTATACTTTCTAAAAGCATATATTTATTGTTTTACATAATACTTGAAATCGATCAATAATTTTCCTCTCGAATCATTTATCTATCCGATTCACTGTTATTATTTATTATTAAAGATCTAACATATAGTCGGCAATCAGCATGATTAATGAAGCTATAGTATTTGAATGTTTTAATATGAACTTGATATGTGATTTTATCAAGAATGAAATGAACACAATCATAATAATGTCTTCATTCTAGCAAAATATGACAAATGAATATTTCACATTAGAAATTTGATATTTCGAGCATGTTATTAATAAAATTAATTGAAAATACAATTGGATAATATTCTAGTTCAATAATATTTTGCAATATTTTCATTTAAAGTGGATCATGTTAATTATAGTCCCGTAATAATACACAAGTTACGTGTTTTGTGTCGCGTGTTATAGAAGTTGACACAAATAATGAAAATCGAACGTGAGCTTTGTTCTAGGTAGAAAATTATTTTCATCATATTTATTATACAGTAGTAATATGAAGTATATGCAAGAAGCTTTCAACGAAGTTAATTGGATTATCTGATTTTCTGTTTTAATGTAGGTGAACAACGACAATACAAATGGTAGTACTCATCAAGAGTATATACTGGACGACGACGAGTGCCCGTTGGCTATTCTCATGAATCACCCTTCCACACGTGGTAAGTTCATCAAATATATATATATGTATATATATTATATATATATATATACGTGATGAGATGATGTGGGAATAAAAGGAAAAAATATGACTACATTTTTTTATATTCATGGTAGACCCATTTAAATTGTTATCACATTTTCAATCGCTTTTATTTATAATTAAGTAAAGAGAGAATGTGACGTATATATGTGTAGGCATAATGATATTAGGAAAAAAAAAAAAAAAAAGGTAATACACAAAAATGAATAATCTAATCAAATTTTTCATTTCGTTTTCACGGAAATGAATTATTTTCCGAGTACTTACTCGCGTAAAAGTTATTATAAATAAATGATATTATATAAATTGAAAATATAATATTTTTATGGTTTTTCATGAATTTCACGTTTATCGGATTTCACATCAAAAACCGCGTAGTAGCTTTTAATTACTTGATGACATATGCATATTCGTATCGAATCAAAACGTATATTATTATCTGTTTTATAATTAACAATTTATAATATAATTAATATATATTATGTTGATTATTTCAACTCGATAGGGGTTTTAAAAGTCGATAGATTCGAATTATTAACATTTGACACGTGTGATTTATAATATCACGTATGCGTGTGTATCATATTTATACTATAACACATGTTTCAAAGTGTATTAGTTATTGTGTTCTTTTAATTAAGAAGTAAGAAAAAGGAGGAAGAAGAAAACGATGATGATGATGATGATGAAGAACAAGAAGAAGAACAAGAATTTTCATTCTTTCGCACGAATAACGAACGGGAAGTAACAAACAGCAGTTAGAAGTAGCTGGAACAACACAGTAGTTGCTACATTAAGATTCCCTTATCCTTTACTCGTTCCTCAAGAGAGACGCCTGTGAAAATCTATTTCCAGCTATCCAGACGCTCGTAAAACGTTACTGCGAAACTTTTCTCTTGTGGTGTAGCTTTTAAAAACGTATTTAAGTTTTGCATTTTGAAGAAATTGGTGGGGATGATAGGACTGGAGGGAGGGGAGGGAGGGGTGGGGGTGGGGGGTAGAGTAAAAAGTGAAAAGTATCGCAAAAATAATTAAAAGAAAGGAAGACAAAGGTAAAAAGGCTAATTCTCTCTGGGATAATAACAAAATGCAATCAGCCGGTTTCGAGATAACACAAAATGAAAAATGAAAAGAGAGAGAGAGAGAGAGAGAAAGAGAGAGAAAACGAAGGTCAAAAGTCAGAGAGCGGGGATAGGTCGGGTCTCGTGTCGCTTGCTTGAGGGTGAATGCACAGTATGTACAATATATACATACACACATAAACATGTATATATGTCTCTCTGTGAGTGCATATAGATATACACATAGAAGTATTACACCGCAAGTATTA